GTCTATGCACTTCATCCATAGACAATAGTTTGTTTTCCCCCAGCTTGAAGTTCGTATTGTGTAACCTAGATGTCGCCCACTACGTGAATCTCGCGAATAACGCAGCATAGTCAGCTAATATGCTTGTTGGAAAATTCGTTCACATGGAAAAAACGCGGAATGTCCACTTCAAAAATGTGAGAAAAGGGGAACGTCCAAGCTTAGTGCTTGCTTGAATACAGATTCCATCATTGTGATTTCAATAGGTTGTTTTCACACTTTCAAAAGGTCAAAGTGAAGTCTCAGGGGAACAAAAGATGAGAAAAAGAAGAGATACGGCCACCATTTTTTCTTCTCTTGAAGCGTACGACAGGGAATAATGTTCGGGGAGCATCGTGGGTACCTAGGGAGGATAGGGAGAGGAGGTAGGTATCGGGATTTTTTTCAACTCTCTGGGATTTTGAGTTCTTGGGAATACTCTGTTGGCAAAAAATCCCAAAGCTTTGCCGTTCTATGTATAAACGAGTTTTGGTAAAGAGTTGTTTATATTTCGAGGTTGACGACAAAAAGGTGTGCTGACTGGGCTTGTCAAGTACGTCTGAGTGATGGAAATGAAATAATGCAATTGCTACATGATGATTTCTACTCATATCGCGTGGAATTTATAGATAATTTGACTTTAGTTACCTCCAGCTTGCAAAAAGTAAGGAAGTTTCAAACTTTGAAATGCGTTCTTCTCCTAATCTACTTTTCGTGACTTTCCCCTCTTTTTCCCTGTGGTCTTCATTTTTTTCGTTGACCTCTACAAAAATCACATTTTACGTTCTAATTTCCGAACGAAAAGTCGACTATTTCTGAAGGCAAGTACTTTTCGTCCACAAACACTAACTTTTCATCCGCAAACATTTTTCGTCCGCTGCGATGAGCCTTGTAAATATGTGGTTACATTGTCCATGTCACGAATTTTCATATTCACGTTGTAATTAATACAGTGCTTCGTCTCAAACTTGTTTCGATTTTACGAACATTATCATTCATTACCAATATTCAGCACTATTTATTTACTAAATGTTGAAGACCTTGATCTAAAAATCTGACGATGGTACTGGATTCTACGTAGAAAAATGTATGAGAGAAAGTTGTTACTTTTTTGGTAAGTTGTAAGGTAACTGAGATACAAGGAGGGGGTTTCAAAATCCAACATTTTCAATTCCGTGAGTGTCACAAAATAGTAGCCAACGTTTGCGAAAACCGCAAATCTCTATTTTTGAAAATAAGTTAGATATTCCGTAAGGACATCGAAAATGGGACAGCCTGTACATCAGTTTTAGTTTGTTTTGATTATTTGAATATCAACTTCGTTCGTTTCTCTTTCGAAGATATCTATGTTGGTCTAGAACAAATGATACATCAATGAATTCGCTGAAAGATTATTCACTGAATTTCACGAAAATATATAGGGTCAATGTAAATACTTCACGAACGATAAAATTTCCGCAAAATTCTCAAACACGCGATATGTAGAAAATAAAGAAATAAGACTCAATCATTTTGATTTATTAGAATAGAAATCAACAAACTCAAAAATTCTGACATTTTACTTAACGATCAATCTGGTACCTCAATAGTTCACCACTGTTGAATGTATTTTGCCAGTAGGTAATAATTTGTATTTACTATCAACCTTCTCAAGTTAAGCCGGTACATATTTTTAATGTAGATTATTTTGTACCTAATTTCCGAAAATGAAGTTTTATCGGACCTGTCCACAGGTAACTAATCCTTCAGGTTGGGAAAGTAGAATGTATAAAAGTTAGGCAAGCCAAGGTTAGTTTTATTTTTTCATATGTTCTGGTTCCCACGAAAAGGGACATCCTGATGTAATGTTCAGAGAACATCGTGAGAACCAAGGAAAATAAGCTAGGTATATCAGCTGATGAAGCTATACTGTGTTAGCGAAACATGTCACATGTCGTGTGTTTGAGAATTTTGTGGAAATCTTATCGTTTGTGTAGTTTTTACATTTGCTATGAATTTTCATGAAGATACGGTCAAGTCATTTAAAAAAATTTAGTTGAAAATTGACCAAATTTGGGTATGTTTCAAAAAATAGCGTTTCTCGTCGGTTTCCGCAGATAATTCATATTTTACATATTACTCAGAGACAGAGCATTATACGCATATTGGAAGAGCATCGAATTTCCTATCGACCTCTTGAAAATTTCGTCATTATGAAAAAAGATGAACGGCTGTTAGAGCGCTCGGACTTGGAGACGTCTGTTAGTCGTACTTGCCACACTCATGTTCTTCCTTTCAACTTATATGATTTGGATCATATGAACCTATGTTCATTGAAGCTCTAAAACGTATAAATAGGTGATTGTTTTGTTTTTGTATTCTGTGGGACAGGGGACAAGAAAAAATAAAATTCTGTACGCTGTAGTTGTTATAATTGCGATACAATGATTCCAATTTTTATGCTCTCTTTTTGGATATTTAACAAATTTAATTCAATGTTCGACGTGGCAAATAGCCAGAAAAGTAGTTGTTTTCTGTTGAATATTCAGAATTATATTATATTATGCATATCTTTATATGAAGGAGAATGCAAATTCTCTACTTCGAAAGATTTTGTTTTCGAATTCTTATCGTGTGTGCCAGGAAAGTAGTTGTTTTTTGTTGAATAAACCGAGAAAGAATTAATATTTTCATCACATGGAGAATGCGAATTCTCAATGTATTTCTTTATATATATTCATTTTTGTGTTCATAAATATATCTGGGAATGTTCCTTTTCAAAAGTCTAGAGGAGACTGACACTAAACCGCGGAGCACCTTTGTTCATGTAATGTACCAGTCCGCCAAAGGCTGAATACCCTAGAACAGGTCAAGATAACGCCTGTTGAGGCGGAAAATTCAGCCCTCAAGAAAATATCAGGCTTGATTAGAAGTCTAGGGTTATAGAACGCAAATAATCAGATGAGAGTGATCCTATAATCAAAACTCTAATCGTCATTACATCGTCGTTTGGCAAGGGGCTGGTACCCTGAAGGTCCCGGTTCTGGGGATGGTGGTGCAGGTGGAGCAATCGTGTTTTCTCCAAGTAAGAAAAACAATATTCTTCCTAGTTGATGTGAATATACTTAAGTACAGTGACAAGTCGAGAGTCATGAGCTACATGCTGACAGAGGTAAATATTCACATGGCTAGGTCTCTTCCACATCAGGCAATATAGTTCGTTTCTTCGAGGAATGTGTAGATTTGGAATTATCTGCGAAAACAGAAGAAAAACGCAATTTTCTGAAAAGTACCCTAATTTGGTCAATTTTCAAGTGGCTCTATCTCCGCACTCGTTAATACTACATTCATGATCAATAACCATTATATTCAGGAAATTGTATCTACTCCAACGTATAATTTTCGAGTTACGGGCAAAAAACCAAAAAAATCCGAAAATTTCGTTGTTTTTTGCAAATATCTCGGAATGCTCTAGGAAATTTTGTTTGCAAAGTTCAGATTCGAATTCAGCACCTCCAATAACATATGAAACCACAGAGAAACCGACTACTTGAATTTTTTTCAAGTGAAAATACCATTTGATTGGGCTATAATATAGATGAAAACAAGTTGATTTCAAAGAAGTGTAATAAAATAGTTATTTCCCTAACAAGTGCGCAAAGTGTAACTTTTCCGCACGCAAAAACAGTTCGAATAAGTTTTTGCGTGCGGAAAAGACACTTTGCGCACGTGTTAGGAACAACGTTTTTCCAACGAGCTTCATATCAGATAAAAAAGAAAATAAAAAAATATATAACTCATCGTAATATGTAACTTTACAGCAATCACATATTAATTGAATAATTTTAAGTTAAACTTGATATAAAAATAGCTAAACAACGAACAATTACATATCAATAAAATATAATGATAGAATATTAAATCATTTGTTCCTAATATTTATATTGAGGTGAAATACAGATATCGGGAAGAACGGTTGAAAAGTAAAAGGGATAACGGCTTCTTATAGTGCATATACAGGGTGGGTCACGGTGTATGGCCTATTAGAAGTATCTGGAGAACGAAAAGACAGAACATTCTGAGAATTGGGATGCTCTGATAATTGAACATTCTCTATTCGTCTAAAATATTTTCATCGATAAAGTGTTGCCACTTCTATCAGAAACAACTAGCAACTTTGTTATTTCAAACGGAACACCCTGCATTTTATTGCATTTTTAGATTCTTCCTGAGGAGCTGATTTCATCAATGTATCACACTTGGGGTCTAGCAGAAATGATTACAGAGATATAGGGTATTCAAAATCGAGATTTTTCAATTTAAGGATTTTTTTGTGTCGAAACTATTCATTATCGATCAAAACGGCTCAAATGTCCCTTTCTTAACTTTTGATTCACTATGTACTGGAATTTAATTGGAAAAAATACAGGGTGCTTCAAGATTCAGAATTCTGATCACCCTGTATATGTTCCAATTAAATGTCAGTAGATAGTGAATCGAAAGTTAAGATAGGGACATAAAAACCATTTTGATCGATAATGAATAGTTTCGACACAAAAAAATCCCAAAATTGAAAAATCTCGATTTAGAATACCCTATATCTCTGTAATCATTCCTGCTAGACCCCAAGTGTGATATTTTGATGAAATCAGCTCTCTAGGAAGAATCTAAAATTGCAATGAAATATAGCGTACCCCTTTCAAAATAACGAAGTTGCTAGTTGTTTCTGATAGAAGTGGCAACACTGTGTCGATGCATCCCAATTTTCAGAACATTCTGTCTCTTCAGTCAATAGGCCATCCACCATGACCCACCCTCTATATAAATGTTCCATACAGGTGAGATTTTTGGGTAGTTTTACTTATTAGCACGCCGTGCGGATCACACCCATATCCGCACTGAGTGCGGAAAAGTATTATTTTTTGCACGCAAATGAGTGCAAAAAAGTACTTCTTTACGCACGGTAGTAGGAAAAGTTGATATCATCAGATCGTCGTACTCACCCAGCACAACGGTCCTGGGCCCTCGCAGGTAGGCTGCGTCTGCGGGCTGGCCGTTGATCATCCAGCTGAGCTGCGCTGCCGGCTTGGACCTGCCCGAGGTGCAGTTAACGTGGACCGTATCGCCCACTTGGTACCGGGCCCGCCCTCCTGTTATCTTCGGGCCCTCGTCGGGAAGCGCTGGAACCGAAGGGAGGATAATGAGAGATTGAGATATTTTTTTTTTGTGACCGGAAAAACGTTTGAAATTTCATCTCTGTTAACAGGTTACTAAATGTCACTTTTCATAAATTACTTTTTCCCCACGAGAAACAGTGATTACTTTTTTTCCGGATCAGAAAAGTAAGCCTCTTTTTCCACATATTCACGCATTGTCATCCACTTCTGAGCTATGATCCAAATTTCGAGTATATAGCTCGTCGGAACTGATGACCTCTCCAGAAAAAATCCTGGGCTTGCCAAAGTATCTATACAGGGTGTCTGTGAAAGGTTGGGACATGGCTCGGCTGTGGATTTCCTGGGATAAAAACAAGTTGATTTAGGCCTACTTATCTATATCCAAAATCGTCTCGTTGCGTTGGTACCAGGCGTTGAGGTTTTTTTGGAAAAAAATAATTTTGCTCATAAAAAGAGTAGGCTGAGATCGATTTCCAATATTTTCTGCATGGCTTGTTCTGTGAATGTAAGTAACGTTTTGGGATGTTTTTGATCATCATCAGTGACTTGCAAGTGTTTTAAACAACCATGTTGCCGAACAAATTTGGTGATAACTTTTCAGAGGACGGACTGGAAACTCCCAGTTTTTTTGCCAGAGAGATATTCCCTTCAGAAATAGTTTTTGTATCGTTTGATAAGTATTGAGATTGATTTGCAAATGAACAATTCCTGATCTGGAGGCATCTTATGCATTTTTTAGAAAAATAATCTGGTTGGGACATGGCTTGACTGTAGACTCCTGAAATAAAAATAAGTTGATTTCAGCCAACCCACCTATAACCAAAATCGTTTCGTTGAGTTGGTACAAGGCGTTAAAGTGCTCACCCTAGGTCCTGAATAGTTATCGCTAAATTTGTAACGCAAGATTTCTTGTAAAGCCCGCGAGGACCAGCAACATATCAGTTTGTTTACAATAAGAATACATTGTAGCCATGATCAATAAACAGTCCGACTAATTAAATAAATTTTCAAAATTATTCATCTGCAAATGAACCTCGAGACTTATCGAAAATTAACACGATACAAAAAATATTTCTGAAGGGAATATCTTTCTGGAAAAAACAAATTGGCAGTTTCCAGTCTGACCTCTGAAGAGTTATCACCAAATTTGTACGGCAATATGGTTGTTTGAAACACTTGCAGGTCACTGATGATGATCAAAAACATCTCAAAACGTGACTTACCTCAGCCTACTCTTTTTATGAGCAAAATTATTTTTTTTTCCAAAAAACCTTCATCGCCTTGTACCAACGCAACGAGACAATTTTGGATATAGGTAAGTTGGCCTAAATCAACTTGTTTTTATCCCAGGATTCCACAGCTGAGCCATGTCCCAACCTTTTACAGACACCCTGTATAGATACTTTGGCAAGCCCAGGATTTTTTCTGGAGAGGTCATCAGTTCCGACGAGCTAGATACTCGAAATTTGGATCATAGCTCAGAAGTGGATGACAATGCGTGAATATGTGAAAAAAGAGGTAGTAGTTCAAGAGCCAGCTGCAAATTTCGACCGTCATCTAATAACGAAATGATATATGATCCGAAGGCAACTGTGCCAATCACTATCCTCAGCAAAATAATTGAAAAAAATTGAACTTTCCTGTGCGGCAATGTGCACATTTCGTAATTTGATAACAAGATGAGCAATATGCCTATACCAATTGAATGGTAGATCTCAAACACGTACCTGTGCTACCCCTCAATCTGAGCCATAAATCCACGGCACAGCGATTTATTTACTGCCATTATTCCGTTTAAATTTGCGTCATGTCATAAGGAGTTGAAATAAAAAGCAAATGAAAGGAGAAATAAATGTCCCACTTACGGATTTCCAAACGTGACGCGATTCAAACTGATCTAACTTAAGTTAATGGCAGAGCGTCAATATTTCCAAGAATATCAGAGAGATTATATACCGGGTGACCAGTTATATTCTGACCCATTTCAAATGCTTATATCTCTGAAACCATTCAAGTTATCGTTGTGCAGTTTGGACTAGTCTATTTTGATATTTTTCAAGTTTTTTTCGACAGGTTCACCTTCTCTCTTGAACTTCCGGTTCTACCGGAAATAAACTAGCCATTATTCAGGTATAGGGCAACTTTTTTATTTCATAGAAGCACCCTGTATATTTTTGCACATTCAGAAAGACTGGTCTTTTCTCTTCCTAACAATGTATAACAAGTTATATTTTCTTAGAAAACTATCAGAGTTATAACTCTTTGAAGCATCTACTGCATATTAGGATGTTATCCTGAAATGCTGAATTACCGTATATATTGAGTATAAATCTGATACAGATTTATGATGAGTTCATTTGCTTTTTCAGTCAAAGTAAACATTTTTTCAACTCGAAGAAAGTACAAATGCTCGACAATCTTTATTTGACACATCTAATCTGGCATTTCATGTGTTCTGATCAGGATTTCCAAAGACGACTTTGGTTACATTGCAAAATCTCATTAAACCATTCCACATGCAGTAGTTGTTTCAAACAGTTATAACTCTGATAGTTTTCTGAGAAAACATAACTTGTTATACATTGTTAGAAAGAGATAATACCAGTCTTTCTGAATGTGCAAAAATATACAGGGTGATTCAATGAAATAAAAAAGTTGCCCTATACCTGAATAATGGCTAATTTGTTTCCGGTAGGACCGGATGTTCAAGAAAGGAGGTGAACCTGTCAGAAAAAACTTGAAAAATATCAAAATAGACTAGTCCAAACTGCACAACGATAACTTGAATGGTTTCAGAGATATAAGCATTTGAAATATGGGTCAGAATATAACTGGTCACCCGGTATCTCGGATAGTATACGATGGATAAGTGTGAAACTCAACATGTGGATTATAGAAAACTTTTAGTGCGAGCACCTCATGAGTTCTACACTGGTCCATCGGATATTATCTTTCGACGAATGACATTTACATTGTTCTCTGTCACTAACTTAGATCAGTTTGAGTCGTCACACGTTTGAATATTCGCAAAGGGGACATTATCCCCTTTCATTTGCTTTTTGTTTTACATGACGGAAGTATATCCGGAATAATGGCAGCAAATGAATCGTTGTGGCGTGGATTTGGCTCGAATTGAATTGACATCAGATAACATCATTGTTATCTCGCTATCAAATCGGGAGATTGAATGCTAATCACAGCACAGTAAAGTGTCATTTTTCAATCATTTCGCTCAGGATAGTGATTGGCTCAGGTGTCGTTTAATAAAATACAATGTTTTTACATGTCTTCGCTTTATATAACATTTCGTTATCCGATGCCGGTCGAAATTTGCAGCCGGCTGTCCTACTAAAGTGGCGTACCTGTGACATTTTTTTCATTGGGGGTCATAGTCCCGATGAGTTAGATACTCGAAATTTGGACAGCTCAGAAGTGGATGAGAATCCATGAAAATGTGAAAGAAGTAGCAGTGATGCCCCCTGATTCTTTTTCTAGGGGGGAGGGTCATCAGTCCCGAAGAGCTAGATACATGAAATAAATCTAAAATTTACCGCATGATGTCGAAGTATTTTAAATTAATTCCGAAATATCTCTGACATAACAATCAAAACAGAAAAAATAATGAAAGTATGATATGATTTGTATCATTCTTATGAAGGATATAACAATATACAGATTTCTAACATTTTGTAATTTATCCTGAAAACTCATTATTGGCAACTTTTGATAGCCATTCAAATAAGTTTGGAAACGAAAAACATGGAGCACATGTGATATACAGTGTGACCCACTTCTAATGGAACCACCCCTGAATCTTACGTAATCGTTGGGTAAGGATCCTGAAATTTGCTGGAGCGGGAGATATACCAAAAGTGCACTCTATGACCAAGTGGGGTCATCTTCAGTGATATACACTGCTCGCCAACAGCCATGGAACTACCCCCAATTTCCGGAAAATGATATTAGGAGTCAAAATAGGTCGAAAATAACTTCAGATTTCCCGGAAATTGGGGTTGTTTCATGGCTGTTGGCGAGCAGTGTATATCACTGAAGATGACCCCACTTGGTCATAGAGTGCATTTTTGGTATATCTCTCGCTCCAGCAAATTTCAGGATCCTCACCCAACGATTACGTATGATACAGGGGTGGTTCCATTAGAAGTGGGTCACACTGTATGATCATAAAGAATATGAAGAGTATAGCTATCAGAGAAATAACTCCTCTTATTGCACGCAACGTCCCAGGGACTTTCCTATTTGGTGAAATTCAAGTCCCATCTTGTATATATATCATGCAATGTCCGAGCAAGGACGTCCATGGAATGTCCCAGCTGGTACTTTATCTTATATGTCCAAGAAATAGCGTCTTCTAGACGTCCCACGTAGAATTATTTCAAACGTTGCCCTAGGGTCATCCATCGGATGTACATATTCTGGCATGACTTATCAGGTAGCGTGTACACCTTGGTAGAACTTTGAACTCAAACCATATGTTTATAATGATCCTTCCATAAACGAATAATGATTGACGACATAATTCGATCGAAAAATTAGCTGGAATGTTCTATTTTTGGACAGAAATAATAGTACCTTCTGAAAACGTACCCTCTTATGACGTAGAAACCTCATCTCGCCATAGTTGAAAGAAAATACCAAACGCCCGACGGAGACTGAGGCAACTGATATATTAATTCTTTCAACTGTGATCTCGCGCTAATTCAATCTGTCAGAAATCATGTATCATTCATCTCTGCCTGGAATAGTTTTGTTTCAGTATTAGGGTTTTGACGTCACATCATCGCCTCGTTTTCAGAGGTCCGAAAAATTGGGGATTTCAATAATTTTTTCTAAAACGTAGGGAGCTCACAGCAAGAAACGGTTTGCGGTGATGAGCTAGTTTGGGTGAGTTCTATGGAATTATGAAATAAATTTTTTTTGTGATATAAGCCCATTCTTCAAATATGTTTGCACGGACGCCCTTAATATTTCCAGGATCGTATAAC